CGCCAAATCCTCACCATTCACTTCATCAAAATTTGTCAAGCATGCAGTAAGGGGATCTTCAACCGTCAACGCCTCATCATCAGACTCTACAATTACATCCACTGCATCAATAAGAGAACAATTTGCGAACTCACTTGGTCGCCTCATCGATTTTTGCAAATTGAATATAATTTCTTCATCATTGAGCCTCATCTTGAGCTCCCCAGTCTCGCAATCAATCAAGGCTCTCCCCGTGGCCAAGAATGGTCGTCCTAAGATTATAGGAATTTCTTCATCCACTTTGCAATCCAAGATTACAAAATCTGCAGGGAACACGAATTTCCCTACCTGAATAAGCACATCATCAAGGATCCCAAATGGACGCTTCACCGTCCTGTCGGCCAGCTGCAATAACATAGAGGTGGGTCTAGCTCTCCCAATGCCCAACCTCCTATAAATAACCAGGGGCATAAGATTAATGCTGGCCCCTAAATCACAGAGTGCCTTAGCAAATGCAAAGTTCCCAATAGTGCATGGAATTGTAAAACTACCTAGATCAGATAGCTTTTCAGCAACAAGTCTAGATACCACTGCACTACAGGTTTGAGTAAGTGTCACTGTGGACAAGTCTTGAAAGTCAAACTTCCGAGACATCAAGTCCTTCATCATTTTAGCGTATCCCGGCATCTCCTTTAAAGCTTCAATCAATGGAATGTTTACCTGGATTTGTTTTAGCATCTCCAAGAACTTTTTATACTGCTCTTCCTTTTGATGCTTGGCCAACCTTTGTGGAAATGGTGTAGGAGATCTTTTCTTCCCAATCACTTGAGATTTCTCTTTCTCAGCTACTGTTTCAATCTCTTGCTGCATATTCTTTTCTTCAGGTGCGGGTTGGACTGTTACCTCTGTCAATCCCGTAGACTCATCCAGCTCAATGGGTACTGGAATGAGTGTCTCAGCCTGTATGTTTTCTCGAGCTCTCTCTTGCTCAATATCTAGATCCCTACCATTCCGTAGACTCACCGCCATCAGCTGCTTTGGGCCCTGATCTTTTGGATTGATTTGGGTATCTGCAGGTAATGTCCCTTGAGGATGATTGTTGAGTGACATTGAAATCTGGCCCACTTGTACCTCAATATTTTTGATAGCTGCATCATGTGCATCCACCCTTTCATTTATCTTAGCGTTGGACCCAATAACCTGCTGCATCATTGCTTCAAGTCTTGCAAACCCGTCTTCCTGTCTTCCACCCTACTGTTGCTGAGGTGGGTGGTACCCTTGCTGCTGATTGTTGTACCCCTGTGGTCTAGGATACGGTGCCATGTTGTTGGGGGGTCTCATGCCTCCCATGTTTCCGGCGTTATACTGTGGCGGAGGTGGCCTGTACTGCTGCTGAGTCTGCTGACCCCAGTTCTGATTACCTTGCCTCTGACCCCCATAGTTAGCCACATAGTTCATATCTTCGGGGTGCTGATGATGATGGTCATACTCTGTATTCCAAGGATTACCAATTGGCTAGCTAATGCAAGATGTGCATAAGCCCCCATTGGTAATATCTACTATATGTACCTGCTGTTTCTGCCCTGATTCCTCCACCTTTTTGGTGAGGATGCTCATTTGTGTCAAGAGAGTCGCCATATTTTCAGCCATTGTATTCGAAGGATCAAGAGGCACTGAGTGCACCACTGGAGTGATAGGTGCGTTCCTAGTTGTCCAACCCGAATTCTGTGCCATCTTGTCGAGCAAAATTCTGACCTTCTCTCCAAGTCTTGCTCAAGAATGCCCCACCAGCAGAGGCATCAACGATATTCTTCATGCTGTCTGATAGTCCCATGTAAAACCGTTGTCCCAACATCTGTTCTGGAACGCCATGGTGGGGACACATAACCAACATTCCCTTAAACCTGCCCCATGTCTCGTGTAGTGTCTCCATTGGTTTCTGTTTGAAACTCACAATCTCGTCAATTTGTTGAGCAGTTTTGTTGGGCGGATGGAACTTGTTGTGAAATTTCTTGACTAACTCATCCCAAGTTTCTATAGAGTTTATGGGGAGCGAGTTTAGCCAAACCTGAGCAGCTCCTGTCACCGAGAATGGAAACAATAATAGCATGATTTCTTTCGGAGTCACGTTGGGTTGCCTTTGAGTTTTGCATATAGACAGGAAGTTCTTCAAGTGCTGCTGAGGATCTTCTGTTTGTGTTCCAGAAAAAAGTCCCTTGTTCTGCAACAAGTGTAGCATGTTATTTGTGATCTGGAACGATTCAGCTTGTATTGCGGGCACAACAATGGCAGTGGCTAGATTGTCAGCTGCGGGTTGTGCCCAGTCATATAGTGCACCCTCAGGCACGGGAGGTGCCAATTGCTCATTCCTGACGTTTCCGTTGGGGTCGTTTATGTCGCCCATGTCAATTTCGAATTTGTGTGTTTGTTGGGGTTGTTGAAGTCTTTTGTTGGCACGATTCAATGCCCGGAATGTTTTCTCGGGGGTCTGAGAGTCCTTCAAGTAGTTCTCCAGTCCTCGTAGAATTTCTAGGCATACACCTGTGCACCCAGATCAACAACCGTCAAATTTTCAATGAAAAAGTTGGTAGAGAGAAAACTGACTACAATAAGAATCTTTGTATTTCTGTCAATGGCAATTGATAATTCCGTTAACTCCCCGGCAACGACGCCAAAATTTGATCACGCCCAACTATGCCTTATAAAAAGGACTCTGCGGACGTTGCAAATATAACTCGAGTATTACGCCTAGGGTCGAATCCACAGAGTTAACCTATCAACCACTATCTTCAGACCCACTAATTCTTCAGAACCAGCTTCCCAAATATTCAAATCTCAGTTGAATGTTCTTTAACAACTACGCTTGCAAGTAACTAAATAGCTGTAAACTAAACTAATACGGTTGTAAACAATTATAAGAAAAAGCTAAGGCAATGATTTCCCCTATTGATGGAATCCCTTCTGTTTATGCTCATACAAATTTACCAACACATCTCTATCAATCATGAACGCTAATCTTACCGTAAATCTCTCCCGAGTAATCACAGTAATTTACTATTGCACTCTCCCGAGATACACTAGCTTACTTTATTTAGCACGATTCACTTTAGATTACACCCAAGGCTTCGTTATCCCTAATCCCGCCTTTAAACCCGCAATTATAGATTCCTCTACTAATCTAGGAGTGGTGTTGTTCAACAATACCCTAAATATGCACTCTTTTCCAAGTTATGCACACTAAATAGGCACAGCTAATTGAGGATCCTGTCAATTAACTACAACAAACACGAAGTTGAACAAATAGAGATTAAACTAGCAATTTGTATTCACATAAACAAGAAGTTCATCACCCAATAGGTTCCATCAAAACCTTAGACAAGGAATTTAGCTACTCATGGCTATGAGAAAATAAACTAAGATTGAATTCATCATAAAAATCAAAAGTAAAGGAGAAAGATGTTTTGAGTATTCTCTCACAATGTTTTTCCTTGCTAAGAAACCTTAAAAATCAATACATCCTCTCTTGGGCGAAGTCTAATGTTTTAAATAGGGTTTAGGTCTAAAAATCCCGTGTTTTACACTTTAGTCCCTGAAGTTTTCTGCGTTCGCCGCGGTTCTGCCGCGGTCGCGGTCAAACCGCGGCCAAAAGCCTTCCCAGAATCTGAATTTATCCGCAGCTATCTTCCACCGCGGTCAAACCAGTTCTCTGAATCTTCAGGCGTGTTTTGCGTGGTGTACTTGGGGAATTTCACAGTTGGCCTCTTTTTCTTCAATTTTGACTCCAAAACTGCTCCTTAGCCTTCCTTATACATATATCACCTGCCAATCATGAAAAACACTAATAAGAGCATTTTGTTATCACTTTTAGCATTAAAACTACACAAGAAGGTGATTATTTAAGGTGTGATTATAGTCAAATTCACCCATTATCATTATGCTTTATGTTATTGGATTTATTGAGCTGTTTGACTTTCACATTAATACCTCTAGACTTTCCATCCAACTCTATTACCATTAAAGGGGTGTTGTAGAACTGTTTTTTTTTTATTTGAGTAAAATTAAAGTAAAAACAAAAAATTATAAGTCTACTGGTGACTAATCTAAAAGGCAAAATAGGTTACTATTTGACACTAGAAATTTCGCAGCTAAAGTTAGGTTTGGAGGGGATTAAGACGTAGCAAGCAAAGGATTGCTGCTAATAGAGGTAGACCCAGAATTTTTACATGATGGGGCACATTATTCTACTCAATCAGTGCCTCCTAAAAGTATTTAGTGTTCAAGGTGCCAACTACTTCAAATTAACCATTTTCAAAGTATATATATATATATATATATATATATATATATATATATATATATATATATATATATATATATATA